GGGGGGGGGGGGGGGGGGGGGGAGAGGGGTATCTTTGCTTTTCTTCATAATAGAATAGGAAAGGGTAAGCCAAAATAATGTCATTCTCATTTTTTCTTTCCCTTTTATTCATGTAATTATATCATTGTTATTATCTTTTATTCTTGCACATATATCTTTTTTCTGTAATTATCTTTCATTGTTTCATGATTTAAATATAGTTTGTAATTTCTTATTCTTATTGACTTATATTTTATATTTTTTTCCTCTTTTCTATTTCCATTTCAATTGCCATGTTAATTAATTACAATAACAAAATCCTTAAACTTATCTATAGTCCAAATCAGAAACTGAGTTTGGCTATAGTTAAGGCGACCTTATCAATGTGTTATTAACAGTTAACGGCTGCTCAGCTCGATTAGCTTGCTATACTGAGCAGCTATTACCTGAATCTTGGTTAAATAATACTATTGTAAAGCTTAATTTGATATATATATGTATATATGTAAATTGGTAATAAAGATACTTGTTGTTGTTGACTTGATAATGGCATTACGTAAATGTCGAAACGTCGTCTTTTATTAAAATGTTTTTAAAATATAGTTTTTTATCGCTGAATTTCTTAGTCAAGCGTTTTAGTAAGTTGCTACTTATTCATAAAAAGTGGACAGTGCTTTAGTCAGACCCTTCTGGCTTTGCTGTACCTTGGTAACTATTCATATTAGATGTGAAAAGATTCATTTTAAGGCATTACTACAGTATGAGAAGAGAAGAACATTTAAATATTCTTCCTCCTTCCTTATTTGTTTGGCCGTCTCTCCCTCCTATGTTTTCCTCTTTCATGGCTCTCCATTCTACCTATTCTAGATTTTCCCCGCTGTTTCTCCCCCCCCCCCCCCTCTATTTTTTTAGCCATTTCTCTCTCCTCCCTGATCCATTTATAAATTAGTAAATATGCAAATCATGTGTACCTCTTGGCTGATTCATCATAATATTGGGCATTATTCCTGGTTGCACCATTCGTGGGTACTGCATGCCTGCAATGTGCTGTTGATCTGCAATTCAGTGCAAAGAAAATAACAATACTATTAATACCAGATTGGTACAGTTTACATAATGACTTTATTCTTTGGGGGAGGGGGGGTTGTTTTTTAAAAATAATATAGAATAAAGAAAACCTTATTTCATTTTTCTCCCAAATCCTCCAAAAGGGGTTTCTCTTCCAATGAATTATATGCACCAACAAAATAATAAGGTCTTCAAATTTTATCAATATCCTGAAACAGCCAGGCTGATCAGAAAACCTAAAAAAACTTCCAATCAAAGAAGAGACCTAACAAACTCTACACACGAGATGCAAAATCCAGCTATCAAACCTGAGACCCCAGTGGTGAGATGTACATAACATGATTGTACTATCATTCTACCACCATTCCCCACAAATTTTCAATTTAAGAATAAATAGTAGTGAGCTAATAAAACCCCTTAACATCTGGTTGTCACTTATGAATAAGAAATACACTTATCAAGTGCTTATTAGCAGCATTTTTTTCCCCCATCTGGTGGCATGGAAATCCATAATTTCGAGAGATTCAAAAATGGACACCTCAGTTTTGCAAATTTTCCAAATTCCGATTGGGTAATTTATTTTCTAAGATCAGTTGGTGCTCTGATGTCACAAGCAACTAAATGCCAAGTGGACCTAGAGCATTATTTCTTTGCTTAATGGCTGCACATGAGAAGACACATCAAATGGATACAACTCAAACAAAGAATCTTGTTCTTAAGAGAATGACATGGGGTCTGAAATGGGAAAACATTACACCCAAGGTAAACAGGTCTTCTTTAAAGGTGGTAGGCTAATACATACTGTTTTGCATTTGGTACATCATTAAAGATGGCTGACCTCTTGGCATGAAACCTAAGAATCAACATGAAAAAAATTAAACTTCTATATCCATAATACAATACATAACTATATATCTAGCACTATTTACTAATAAAAATCTGTAAAGAAGCCATACAAAACAATACAGATCTGGGATTTCATCAAGGCTTGGAGAATGCTCTGGTAAATGATCTTCTCCTACCTATTATTTCAAAACTCAATGAAAACCACATTGTACTATTTTGTCGAACTATTTGGCACAAAACAAATTCAGTACATGTACTTTTTGAGTGTCTGCACTTTACTAGCTGCATTACAGTAAATCTTCAACCTTATTCCAAGGGTCTTTTTTAAGTATACAATTGGATTTATTTGTATAAAACAATAATTTCTTAATTCAAGGGTGGTTACCTTCATATCCCATAGGTCTTGGTCCACCCATGTAAGGTCCTTGATTGAATGGCACGCCAGGTCCATTATACATTGGGGGTCTTGTTGCAGGACCCCTAGGTCCCTGTGGGTGCATAGGCCCCATTCGAGTGTTGTGTGGTCGGACATTTCCATGTAAAGTAGGAATGCTTTGATTGGCAGATGGGTGAACAGGCATTCTTGTACCGGTCATTGCTGGCCTTGGTTGTGGTGGAACCAGCCCAATTTGCCTTGGTTTCAAGTGTAAAAAGGGACAACTGTTCTTTGTACATCCCATTGCTTGTGACTCCCAGAAGCATGGTATCGTATTACGCTCTTTCTGTAAATGATTTGAAATGTTTAAGATATGTAAATTTATTTTACATTGATTGCTGGGAGTGACGGCACAGTCTTCCATGCCAGAGGCTCACACTTAAGCTTTTGACACCTCATCTAATTGCTTTTTAGTACTTGATTTTTGCAGAGCGAGCAAAAAGTACAAATGGTGAACCAGTTTTTAGTGACTTTGTTATTTGGCAAATATTGGTTGAAATTCCTTCACCTTACCTCTATGACCATGTGTCTAAAAGTACATGCTTCCTTAAAACATCTTCCCTTTTCCCAAAGATGACATGTAATTTCACATCCAAGAGCTGCAGGTTGATGCCTAAATGGGCACATATCACCCTTAAAAAAACATAAGTCAATGCAAAATATTAGCTTTTACCTGAAACAGTGCTGTTTATTAAAGCTTTAAATCGACATTTTCCAATGAAAATTAGTTATCAATAATAGTATGACATCTATATTTTTCTAAATTATCGGGTCAAAGATAGACAGGTGAAAGGTCATTCCTAATAGGGAACAAATTATGGGCATACATCTAAACATGAATAATCAAGGTGTTAAAGGATGTTTGTTTGATTTACATGTAAAGAGCATCCAGTTTTCCATTTTAGATACTCCAAGCCAAACACTTAAGGTAGTCAGAAAACAATCAAGAAGAGTGGAATACTTTTCTAGTGTTCTCTCAGCATCCCGAGTGTTTAGATTATGGTTTCAAAAAGGAAAACTGTTCTATATTTCTAACATTCCATAATCTCAATGCCCTTACAATAAAATATACACATCAAATATACAGAATGAAAGAAAAGTAATGCAAAATGTCTCAAAGTCCTTAGAATCCCATCTACATAAAAATACATTATTCATGTAAGAAAAATAAGAAAGTTGTTTCTATTGACAGTTGAAGCGTTCAGATTCTTTCTCACCCGCTGTGCGACTCAAACAGGCCTCAAGCTCATCATGACTGACGTTTCCACAAATATGGAAAAAGTTTCTATTTAGGTGCTGAACACTAGTTTTCATACCTTGGCGCACTTAGAGTAGTAATAGAAATAGCAATCATCTCCAGTCTCTGACATGGCTGTTACATATGTTCGACCTGTGACATCACAAAAAAACAAAGAAAATCAATTACCAGTTCCGAGGATGAGGAAAAAACTGGGTCGAGTTGGTATTGCAGTTTTTCCTCAAGCTCAAAATGGCTAATGTGTAGTTCCAGAAACAATCCATACCCACCCCACAGAGGAATTTGGAATTTCCAAAGAGTAGGGGGGTCAGAGAAAGAACAAAAATTACAGAGTTTGTATGAAAGAAAATTGGAATTTCTGGGGTAGGGGGGACAGTGTCTTTAAAAAATTCCTCCGTGAGGGGGTAAGGATAATTTTTGTAACTACACGATACTGAAAATACATCTGCATCTATGGGGTCAAGTCTGCATCTATGGGGTCAAGCATGCAACAAAAACTTTGCTATCCTTTTTGAAATAGGTATATGTATATAAAATGACAAATTCATTATGCAAAAAATGTCAGCACAGAAGAAAACATACTGGAAAAATTTGGGACTTTTTTCTATTTGTATTATTATCACCCATAGTGCATTTTTCAAGCTTGGTATCCAATATGCAACAGGGTTTCTTCTATGCCGACATCATTCATATATGATCCACAATGCATTTCAAGTTTGGTTATCAACATGCAGCATGTAACAACACCTTCGCTAACCTTTCTTGAAATAGTCGTATATAAAATACAAGGATAATAAGGCCTAGGGCAAACGTCAAACTTTCCATGCACCGAAGTCATTAAAAACAATGGATACCAGGTGATAATGAGGCAGCATTCTTTGATGTAATTAAGTTCGGTGCATGGAAAGTTTGACGTTTGCCCTGGGCCTAAGATACTGTACAATAAGACCTAAGTGAAAATTAACCATCAATACCACAGAGTAAAAAAAATAGAGATCTAATCAATCGATGGCAAAAAAAATATTGGGAGAAGTGTCCATGTGTACACCCAAGGCTTAAAATAAGGGCCAGTCACCAGTAAAATGTGCTACAAGAATTGGAGCTTGTCCGGTCAAATACAGTACCGCCTGAAATCATTGAGGCATAAGACGCGTCCGTCGCGCGTTCAGTGCACGCGGTAAAAACGCAAATAAGCCGCGTCCTGACCTAGAATTGAC